AGCCAGACCACAGAAGAACAAATATTGTATCATTCCATTTATAAGAGGTATAGAAAATAGTTAAACTCAAAGAAGCAAAGAATAGAACAGTGGTCGCCAGAGGCTGGGGAGTGGGGAAGATAAGAGTTGATAAACAGTGAGTGAAAGCTTCAGTCCTACAAGGTGATTAAGTTCTAGAGATCTGTTGTACGACACCGGGCCTGAAGATATAACAATACTGGATTGCACGCTTCAAAATCTGTTAAGAAAGCAGATCTCATGTAAAGTGGTCTTATAATAACAATTTTTTTTTTTTTGAGACAGAGTCTCACTTTGTCATCCCAGGTAGAGTGTCCTGGGATCATAGCTCACAGCAACCTCAAACTCTTGGGCTCAAGCGAACCTCTTGCCTCAGCCTCCCAAGTAGCTGGGACTACAGGTGCCAGCTTCGATGCCCAGATGTTTTTTGGTAGAGATGGGGTCTCACTCTTGCTCAGGCTGGTGGTGAATTCTCTCTCTCCTCAAGAGCTCCGCCTGCCCCGCTCTCCCAGAGTGCGGGTTACAAGTGTGAGTCACTGCACCTAGCAAACTACAACAAAATTAAAAACAAAAATTTAAGAACATACAAACAGGCCAGTTACGGTGGCTCACACCTGTAATCTTAGCACTCTGAAAGGCTGAGATGGATGGATTGCTTGAGCTTAAGAGTTCGAGATCAGCCTGAGCAAGAATGAGACCCTCTACTAAAAATAGAAAAACTGAGGCAAGAGGATCGCTTGAGCTCAAGAGTTGGAGGTTACTGTGAGCTATGATGATGCCATGGCACTCTACCCAGGGTGACAGCTTTTGAGAGGCTGTCTAAAAGGAAAAAAAAAAAAGAATAAAAACATAAAAAATGGCTGGCTAAGCAAACATAGGTTGTGAAAAGGGGGGCAAGGAGACTCACACAGCTGTGGATGACCCATGACACTCTTCAATCACTCTGAAAATCATCTTGGCAGAAGTTAGTTGTTCTTAAACAATAAAAGGGTTCATTGAGCTTGGTGCCCACAGGACAGTGGTTACAGCACCAGCCATATGCACTGAAGCTGGCAGGTTTGAGCCCAGCCCGAGCCAGCTAAACAACAATAACAACTACAACCAAAAACTAGCTAGGCATTGTGGTGGGTGCCTATAGTCCCAGCTACTTGCGAGGCTGAGGCAAGAGAATCGCTTAAGCCCAAGATTTTGAGGTTGCTGTGAGCTGTGACAGCACAGCACTCTACCCAGGGTGACATAGTGAGACTCTGTCTCAAAAAAGAAAAAAAAAAGGGTTCTTTTCTCCCCCTGGAAGAAGGATCTCTAATTGACGCATTAGTTATGACAAAAATGAAGTCAATTCCACAAATATCTACTGGGCTCCCATCACATAAACAGGTGCTGGTTATGGACAAAGAATATGAACAACATAGCCCCTGCTTTGACTGCAAGGCAGTGAGATGAGGCAGTTAGGAACAGGCTCCCTGTAGTCAGTTCTGGATTCCAATATTAACTCTGCCACTCCATGGCTGTGTTGCCCTGAGCAAGTTGCCTGACCTCTCTGTTCTCCTCTGGCAAATGGAGATGATAATCTTCAGAGTGTTGTGTGAGTTCAAAGAGAAAAGAGTGCATAATGTATGTCAGAGTGGGCCTCCCACACAGTGAGAGGCTGCTATCAGTACTGCGGCTGGAGGGCACTTTCCGGGACCCAGGAGGGAGCCGTGTGCTGGGCTGGGGCTGCAGGGTGAACTCTATGGAAATGTGACTTTGAGCAAGGCTAGTGAAGAAGTGTCTAGGCTGGAAGGATGGAGATGCAGAGACAACACCAAGGTTTCAAGCCTGAGCAACCTGGAGAGAGGCTAATTTGACCAGGTAGGGGTGTGAAAGGAAAGGTTCAGTGGACTCTCAGAGAGCCGGTGTTCTCCTGACTGATGGGGGGAGGGGCTGAATACATGATTACCTTAAAGGGGGATGAGGGCTGAGTGAGCCCTGGGCCTAGGAATGAAGGGGATCTCTGTGAGCATGAGGACCCCACGTGTGGCCAGGTTGTGAGGACTTTTTGGGTTTGTTTTAAATGAAGCTCTTTACAGGGACATGGCTGGTGGGTTTTTATTTTGACTCAGGGGTAGCAAGGGAAGAGGAGCAAGGAGCAATGGGGGTCCAGAGAAGCGGGGTGGAGTGTGGGTGGCTGTGACCATGAGAATGCAACTGGCAGATTCTAGGGCTGCTGCTGGACTGTGGGGAGGCAGGCAGGCTGGGTCTGGGCTACACAGGAAGGATTTGGGGGTGTGACCCTGGCCACTCCCTGCTGAAGGGGCTTAGGCATGGCCTGGGTCAGGGGTAGTGGGCAGCAGGAACTATGGGGCAGGGTAGGTGCTGGAGATGTGGAGTCAGCCATCTGCATGGCCCCAGAGAAAAAGCCTCAACTTTTCCAGCAGGAAAGGAGGCTGCAGCGGTGCCTTTGGCTGTAGAAATTTCCATGAGCTGTCTCAGCCTGCTTTGGGGACAGGGGTCAGGCCTGGGTATGAGTGCATGTATGACAAGGTAGGGAGGCAGCCTCTGACCAGGGAGCTAGGAGAGGCAACAGGCTCTCCACAGGGAGGTCCTCTGGTCACCCCTTTCTGTCCCCATCTTTTCTTAAAGCCCCATTTTAGGCAAGCTAAGTTCTTTACTGGAAATCGTGCTAGATAAAGAGTTTAGGTTCCGGGCCAGCTCTGGCACAGACCAGCTATGTGTCCCAGAGCAGGACTCTCAGACTATGTGCCCCTTTTAAGACTGGCATTTTCTCAGTTCCTAGACCCCATTAGTCTGGGACAACTCTGAGAGCTCCTGTGCCTGAGCTCTAGAATGGGTCTCCTGGGCATTTCCTTCCTTATCCTGATCAGTTGCCCTTAGTGCATGTAGTGGTCTCTCCATGGCACACCAGCCTCCCTGTATCCTTGCAGAGAAAGCAGCAGGAGCACCCTTTGCAGATGAGGAAACCAAAGCTCAGAGCAGGTAAACTCTTTCCCCAGATGGCACAGCTGAAAACCAACAGCACCAGGATCTGAACCCAGGCAGAGCCTTGCCCAAGCCACAGGTGATTTATTTACTCTCAAGTGTACCATGAGTGCAGGATGGATCTGTGTTTGTCAGTCCTGAGAAGTTTAAGGCAGCACACAAGGATGCATTCGGACTGGCAGACCTCCCGGCACCTTCCGGATCTCACGCTGGGAAGTTCGCACTACCTCAGGTGGTGTTAAAAGTGTCCCAGCAGCCAGGGCCAGTGCTCAGTTCTAGCCCTGCCTCCTGCTTGGAGGAGCAGGTGACAGCAACACCAGGAGGTATCCAGATCACACTGAGTGAATGTGTTGGGGCAATTTAGGTCCCTGCCCTAGAACAGCGCTGCTTCCTGTCTTGAGGTGGGTTGTCAGGGGCCCAGGGCAATGCAGGCAAGGATGGACGGCCCACGGGCCATCTGGGTCAGCTCCCTGCCTCTGAGAGGGCTGCCTTCAAGTCATCCCAAGGAGGTGCGGGAGGCAGAGCCAGCAGCCCTCTTGGTGCTGGATCTGAGCTCAAGATTCTCTGAGGGTGAGGTTAGGAGAGGCTATTGTTTGAAACTGTGAAACAAGTCTGAATTCAAATGCATTTGTTATTAAACCTGGTTTTGCTACAGGGAGTGGCAGAGGTTTACAAAGCAGCCAAGAGAGGTCGGTGTGCTCTGCGCTAGTCTGCAGTAGCCACCCTGTTGTTCAATAAATGGCTGCTTCAAAAACACAAATACACTCCCTCCCTTCTCTTAAATTGCTCTATTATCATCTTTCTTTCAAAAAAACCAAAAATGTCCTTTTCCCCCATACCTCCCCTTTCCCCAACAACTTCTCTTTCTCTGTTGCCATTCACAGAAAAACTCATCCATGCTCCTGTCCTCACCTCCACTGACACCCAGGGCCTGGGACTCCTTGTTGCCAAACCCAGGGCACTTCTCTGGCCTGGTCCTTCAGTTGTCCAGAGGACTATGTACTGTGACGGTGGAGGGGACAGCACAGGTGAAGTGTGGCACTGGCACGAGCTCCCAGTGAAGGACTGCTGTGATGGTTCTTGTGTGCTCTTTTTCTGGAGCCTTGCCTGCCACCTCACCCTCCTCCTCCACCACCCCTGCCGGCTCCACCTGTTCTTTCCCCTCCGCCCTCTTCTTGGGTGATTCCACCTGATCTCAAGCACCAGGTGCACATCAACACCACACGTGACACTCACACCTGTCTCCAGGGTGACCTCTTCCAGATCTGTAGACCCTCCTATCAGGCCAAACTTGGGACAGCTCCCTGGAGATAGCTAACAGGAGACCTAAACACAGAGTGTGAAAACCACTCCTAATTTTCAGCCCCCCTCTATTTCTCTTCCAGCATTTGCCATCCCAGAAAATGGTGACACCAGGCTGGCAAATAGGGAGCCCTTCCCTGTATCTCACATTAGTTAAGTCCTGTTGGTTCTAACTGAAAAATATGAGAACTCAAGCAGGCCTCTCCTGCCTCACTCTCATGGCTGTATTCCAGGCTATCAGACTCGCTCTGGATAACACCAACAGCTCCCAGCTTTCATCTTTGCCCCTTTTCAATTCTATTCCCCTGAGAGCAGCTTGGGGGACCTCAGAAAGTGTGTGTCAAAATCTGGTAGGGCAAGCACCCCACTGAGTTCTTCCTTCTCAAAAGATTTTTGGTTGCCCTTTTTAAATATTTTTCAGATAAAATTTAGAAGCAGATATTTCCTTAAATAAATAATGCAACAGAAAACCAATCCAATCCAATAATCCATTCATGGAAATAATACCTACCATTCTGGATTAGCAATTCCTGAAGTCTGAATTACTGATACTTCCCTGGAAGGCTGTTTCCCTTTATACAACCTCAACAGATAAAGACCTGACTTTCCCAAAGGTTTGCATTCCTGGTGGCTTTGCCCACGTGTCCGAGAGGAGTTGTGATCGCGGCCCCCAGTGGCAGCTCTGAGTGGCGGCCCCTTACCTCCCTGAGGCAGGTGTAGATGGGGCGCACCAGCACCCGGAAGGGCTCGCCCGTGCTGCTGCGCATGGTGCCGAAGACCTCGCACAGGAAGGTGATGAAGCCCAGCCAGCGCTCCACGTCCTGCTGCTGTAGCTCCTCGCGCACCGTGAAGTCCTTCTGTGAAGGCAAAGAGACTGTCAGCCTCGCAGACTGGGGAGGGCCGGGGCAGCGGACAAACCTCATGTCTGTAACCAGGATGGGGTATGTAGCTTCCCCTCCTCTGGGCGCAACCCAGACCTGTCGCAGGTCACCCTCTTTCTCTGATCCCAATCCTGAGGTCGGGGGATGGGTGGGAAGGGGAATGTCACTCTCCCAAGACTCAGCACTTCCCTCATTCAACTCCCTTTGCCTAAGGCCCAGGAGTCCTCAAACTACGGCCTGCAGGCCACATATAGCCCCCCGAGGACATTTATCTGGCCCTGCCGGGTGTTTTTGCCGTTGCTGCTTGTCCTGCTTAGCAGCCAACTTGTCTCAGGGTCCACAGTTGGGCCCTCCAATGGTCTGAGGGACAGTGAACTGGCCCCCTGTTTAAAAAGTTTGAGGACCCCTGGAAGCCATCTCCCTTTGCTAACCTCCAAATCACACTCTTTGTGTCAGAGAAGGTGACCAGGATACCATCTGCCTACACAGGGCCAGCAATTGGCATATGAGGTCCGTCCAGGCTAGCACCCCAGCACTGGCCTAGAGGACAGTAGAGACATTAGAGGTATCCATTCATTCATCCATTCATTCTTCCTCCTTAAAAATATTATTGCCCCACTGAGGGTCAGGCACTGCCTGGGGAGCTATGATAAGACATGCTCGCTCACTCAAAGCCATGATACAAGAGAGGAGGTATGAAAAGTCATCAGAAGGTCCTAGTGAGGGGACTTTGGGAGCTCAGTGTTGGAGTTATTCTCAGCTGGCAATGAGGGCTTGAAAGATGCTAGGATTCTGACATGGGAACACGGGAGGCGTTTCAGGTGGAGAGAATGACAACAAAATTCCAGCACAGGGAAGATGACTTGAGTGTTTGGGAAAAAGGGAGATATAAACCAGCCTGACCCCAGCATGTAGGACACACAGGAGAAGGGCTGGGACAGAAGCCATGGCTGGAGTCTGGATGGCTGGAACCAGCCAAGCAGCCAAGGCCCATGGGATGGTCACTATAGAAGGTTGTGGGGGTGGGGCATGGGCTCACGAAATGCCGCAGTCATATTGTGCTCTTAAGAGAGGTTAATATAGCCCATCACAAAGTCCCAAAGCTGCAGATGCTGGCACAGATGTAGAGAGAGGCGAACACTTTTACACTGTTGGTGGGACTGCAAACTAACATAGTCTCTTTGGAAAGAAGTATGGAGAGTCCTCAAAGAATTCAAAGTAGACCTTCTATGTGATCCTGCAATCCCATTACTAGGCATCTACCCAGAAGAAAAAAAATCATCTTACCAGAAGGACATTTGCACTGGATTGTTTACCAAAGCTCAATTTATAATTGCCAAGATGTGGAAACAACCCAAATGCCCATTAACCCAGGAATGGATTAATAAACTATGGTATATATATACCATGAAATACTATTCAGCCATAAAAGATGGAGACTGTATCTTTTGTATTAACAAAGATATAAAGTCCACCCATGCCTGCAGGTCTCACAGGCATGAATGGAGGAATGAATGGATAGCCCACCCAGGCCTCCTGCCCCCCACCACGTCCCACTCACGTGTCTGCTTGGGTACACCTGTGGGCCCTATTGTTTGTCTCCACCTTGGAGTCTGAGCAGGGTTAGCCAGCGACTCCACAGTAGTAGATACAAGGATGGCTTTGTATCTTCTCCCTAGTCCAGAGCCTAGAGCAGGCAGCTTCTATAGGGGGTGCCTCAGGAATTCTGGGTATCTGTGAATGAGTGAATGACTTTGCCTGCCACACAGAGCCTGTGTAGAGAAGGGGTCCACACTGCTGGCCTTGAAGTACTGAGTCTTTGGTGTTTCCGTCCTTATTAACCTGATTAGCCCATGATAATCTTATGTAATCTGAACAAGGACAGGCATTACCATTCTCATTTTATTTTTATTTATTTATTTTATTTATTTTTTGAGACAGAGCCTCAAGCTGTCCCCCTGTGTAGAGTGCTGTAGCATCATAGCTCACAGCAACCTCCAACTCCTGGGCTCAAGCGAGTCTCCTGCCTCAGCCTCCCAAGTAGCCGGGACCACAGGCACCCGCCACAACACCCAGCTATTTTTTGTTGCAGCCGTCATTGTTGTTTGGTGGGCTGGGTTGGATTCGAACCCACCACCTTAGGTGTATGTGGCTGGCGCCTTAGCCACTTGAGCCACCATTCTCATTTTAAAATTGGGCATCTGAGGCCCAAGAGATGAAAAGCCTTGACTGAGGTCACACAGTACCTACAATGTGAATGAGAACTTAAGTCCCTTCTCTGCTTGGGGTTAAAGGTTCTCAGCTGGGATTGTGCGCTAGAGTCACCTGGAGGAATTCTGAAGACATTGATGCTTGAAGTCCACCCCAGAGAGTCTTGTGTAATTGGCCAGGGTGAGGTTGGGACATGGGTAATTTCTGATATCTCCCCAGGTGATTCCAATGTGTAACCATGGCTCAGAATCACAGCTCTCAGCTTTCATCAAATGCCAACTCTGGTGTTAAAATGGTGCCCCTTTACCAACGTCCAATGTGTCTTTTCTCCATCTCCATCAAAATCCCCATCAGTGAGGGCACACATGCAGGAACAAAGTCCCACAACAACATGTGGAAGGAAGACAACAGTTCACTAGCAGACTCCTCACCAGATTCAGGAGATAACGCCGTTCACTAAAGTGTTGTTGCCAATAAACTCTGTCCAGGGCAGCTTGGCCCCTTGACCCTGAAGACCAAAAGCAGAGGGTAGGTTGAGGTTTCAGCCCCTTCCTCTGTCTGCCCCTGTCTGGCCGACAAAGTTTGTTGGTATCAGCACAGCCCTGTGCCTGTGCGCTAAGCCTGCTCCCATCAGCACTGACTCACTCAGACCTTGCGGACTCAGGTCCTGTGAGGCAGAGAGGACAGGGTGGTACGCCATGTCCTTTGAGGGAAAGTGCTCTGGGAGAAAGACCTTGGAGGCAGGGAAAGGCTGAGGGGCACTTGCTACCAGGGACTGAAGTTTCCAAATACTGATTGTATCCAATCAAAGTATTATAGCTTGACTCAGTTTCCTCCTGAGATCTATGGCATCAGGAAAAGATTCTGTTCTGGGCTAGCACAGCTATTAGGAGAATGAATTCCTGCTAAATGTTGGCAATTGGATTTGAGATGAATACAGGAAGCCACCTACCAGCTTTAGATCTGAGAGGAAGTCTCTACCTCAGCAGACAAAGAGCAATTCCAAGGATGAGCCGCACAGCTAACCTGATGGCCCTACAGAGCCTTCCTTCAGGAGTAAGAAGAAAAGCAACAGGGACCACTGGGAAAATCCTGCATGGCAGCATAGAGAAGCATTATCTTATTTCACACACACACACAGTCACATACTCATATGCGCGTGCACACACGAGTGCCAAAAAGAAAGGAAAAAAAATTAAATTGTAACACTCAGTCACATTTGACTTCTGCAATTATAAGAGATACAAGATAACACATGGTATCAGTATACACTGAGTACTACCACTTTATTTTATTTTATTTTATTTTTTTTTGTGACAGAGCCTCAAGCTATCCCCCTGGGTAGAGTGCCATGGCATCACACTCACAGCAACCTCCAACTCCTGGGCTCAAGCGAGTCTCCTGCCGTAGCCTCCCAAGTAGCTGGGACTACAGGTGCTTGCCACAACGCCTGGCCATTTTTTGGTTGCAGCCATCATTGCTGTTTGGCGGGCCTGGGCTGGGGATTTGAACCCGCCACCTTAGGTGTATGTGGCTGGCGCCTTAGCCGCTTGAGCCACAGGCGCCGAGCCAGTACTACCACTTTAATACAGCTTTTTCCTTTCTTAAAATCTGTATATGTATATATATATTGGCATCTTCTTTCTCTGTGTGTATTTCTTTTGGGGGGAGAGTATTATCTTGAATACTTAATGGAAATGCATATCTCTGAAAATGTTATCTATAATAAACTAAAAACAAATAAAATAAAAAACCCAAGCCTAAAATATGAGGGCTTATATGTCTAAAAGAAGTACAAGCTAAAGAAAAAAAAAAAAATCCCTCCGGCTGAAATGAAGGTGAGACAGGGACTGGGATTAGGAGAGAATAAGGGGGGACTAGAAATCCAACAGCCAAATGCAGATGAGCTGCGGGCAACAAAACAGAATGAGTATTGCAGGGACAGTCCAGGCAAAGCCCCAGACCACTGATTACGGAGATGAAGAGACAGGAAAAAAAAGCAAGCAGAAAAATGATAAAGACAAGCAGACATCTAGAAATATAGAAGTTTTTAAAAAGGATACCAAAATACACCAAACTTTAGAGAAACCAAGGTGGAAAAAACTTTCTCTCTGAAAACAAACTAAAAAAAAAAGAGTTGACTGTTCAGACAAAAACAGTCCACCACGTCCCAGCAGGCTCCCACCCCTCATTTATACTTATTAGGAGAATTTTCTTACTTAATTAAAAAAAAATCTAAAAACGGCTATGAAGGAACAAAAAGTAAGATTTCTTACAAAGAGACAAAAATCTAGTGTGCTTTCTACGTCTGTATTTAATGTTCAAATTCCGAGACATGGTGGCAACATCTTTAAGGGTTTGAGGGGACGAGAACACACCTGCCTATGAGTAAGAGCAAGAGAAAGACATCTTACGTGGCATGTATTAAAGACAAACCGCTCCTCTAAGCTTATCTTCGAAATACTAAATGCTGCAGCTTTGAAAAGTAGTACGGTGATTCTTCAAAAAAATTTAAAATAGAATTACCATATGATCCAGCAAATCCACTTACAGTTATCCCAAAGAACTGAGAGCAGAATTTCAACGGGGGTGAGATATTCGCACACTCACGGTCACGGTTGCATTACTGACAACAGCTGAGAGGTGAGAGCAACCCAGATGAATGGATAAACAAAATGTGGTATGTACATACAATGGAATATTAGTCAGCCTTTTACAAGGGAGAACATTCTGACGCATGTTACAACGTGAGCAAACCCTGAGAC